AGGAAGGAGAGGGAATGGGCAGAGGGAAGAGAGAGGAAGGGAGGAAAGGAGGAAGTGAATGAGAATGAGGGGAGTGGGATTGGGAGAGGAAGGAGGGAGAGAAGGATAGAGGGAGATGAGAGAGAGAGAGAGAGAGAGAGAGAGAGAGAGAGAGAGAGAGAGAGAGAGAGAGAGAGAGAGAGAGAGAGAGAGAGAGAGAGAGAGAGAGAGAGAGAGGGAGGAGGGAGAGGGAGAGAGGGAGGGAGAGGGAGGGAGAGAGAGGGAGAGAGAGGGAAATAGGGAGGAGAGGAAGAGATAAATAGGGAATAGAGAGAGAAAGAGAGAGAGAGAGAGAGAGAGAGAAGAGAGAGAGAGAGAGAGAGAGAGAGAGAGAGAGAGAGAGAGAGAGAGAGAGAGAGAGAGAGAGAGGAAAGGAGAGAGAGAGAGAGGGAGGGAGGAGGGAGGAGGAGGGAGGGAGGGAGGGAGGAGAGAGAAGAGAGAGAGAGAGAGAGAGAGAGAGAGAGAGAGAGAGAGAGAGAGAGAGAGAGAGAGAGAGAGAGAGAGAGAGAGAGAGAGAGAGAGAGAGAGAGAGAGAGGAAGAGAGAGGAGGGAGAGAGGAGAGAGGAGAGGGAGAGAGGAGAGAGAGAGAGGAGAGAGGGAGAGAGAAGAGAGGAGGAGAGGAGAGGAGAGAGAGAGAGAGAGAGAGGAGAGAGAGGAGAGAGAGAGAGGAGAGAGAGGAGAGGAGAGAGAGAGAGAGAGAGGAGAGAGAGAGAGAAAGAGAGGAGAGAGAGAAGAGAAGGATACACAGATAGAAGAGGGAAAGGCAAACACCGAGGGAAAGAGCGAGAGCGCGCGCAACGCACCACCCACCTCCCCCAACCCATCGCCCGGGCGTCGGCAACCCGTTTCTTCAGGCTGCCACCCCTTCCTGGGACCGATTTTCTTTTCCTAATACCAATGAGCGGTTCTGCGACGAAAGATATCGCCCTCCATCTGACTTTGAACGCTTCGCCTAATGATCGCCCTCGGAGAGCGCAATGCACGCCCTCGGGAATACATCTATGGCATTCAGGATCCAATGCCCCCCGCAGGGTCAGCCGGCGAGCACAGCAAAAACTCCTTCCACAAGACAGGCTCTCATCTCCTCTTGCGTTCTCCTTTCAGTTCTTCAAGGTCAAAGCGGACAATATTCTCGTTTATACAGTAAATAAAAATAGATCCCCCCCAAAAGGGTATCCATCACGGTTGCTGAAACAAAAATTAACTCTAGCGTAAGATCACGGGGTATCTGCAATTCAACATCATGTAATCTCTCTTCGCATTGTTCCAATTGTCAAATCAAGTTGATTCACGCTGCATATTGATACCGTAGGCCCGGGAATAAACCACAACGCTTGCATCACAACTATTGCGTAAACCAAACATGCCAGCTAACTGACATGCCGCTTTTTGGAAATCGTGTTGTTTCAGTATTATGTCATCAATATCTGAAAATAACACTGCATTTCATTTAAAATATTGTTTGTATAAATTGGATTAATAAATGGAGTCTGCAATCAATGCCGAACGACAACAAATAACGTGCAAGCTTTACGGATATCAATAACTATCGTGAACATTTCGCTCATTATGTATTCATGATGAGAAGGATCTATCTATCCGGTGGCCTTCAAGACGTGCCGTAGCGCCGCTAATATACACTTTTTTAGCGTTTAAACCTGTTCCGTTGAAAAAGACGACGAAAGCTTTTTAGAATAAAAAAGTAAAAAAAAATATCAGAGAAACATGTGCTGCAACTGGTCCTGGTTAGGGCTTTATACAGCAAGCTCCCAAGGGTGTCAGACGCAGATCACGCCTTCCCGTCGCAAGAAACGCGGCTCAAGCAAAAATACAGAACTTGCTTCGGCGCTCCGGGCTCCACTAACCAATAATTACAAAGCACAGACTGCTGAAGGCTCGCAGCTCTTGCTTCCCTCTGCCTGGTACAGGATGCAGGCGTCCCACGATCGAGAATCTCCAAAAGCGAACAGAACCAACTCATGACACGTAAATTCATCTACGCAGCGAAACGTCCCGCCCTGATAATCTGCAGAAGAGGAGAAGCCGCCGCCACAAGCAGACAGACGGCAGCCCCTCGCGCCCGGTCCTTATTCACATTCAGGCTGCAGTGTGAATGAATGGGCCGAGAGTGGGTGTTGCGAGGGGGAATGAGCAGCCGGGCTGAGGCAGCGTGATAGTGCGTGCATGTGTGTGCGGCGGCATTGATAAACTGCATCCTGGATTACCAGCTTTGGACCCCCGCCCCTCCCCCCCCCCGCATCCGCCCTCCCCACCCACCGCCAATGCAACCTGACAAATATCGTAACACGAGATCACAAAAGTATATCCTACGTGTTGTCCTTCAGTCCATAACCAACAGTCACGCAACGGATGAGGCAATCTTTGGTGTTGAAACCGATAAATATAATAATCTTTACATCCGTCATACATAATGTTTTTGTGAGTGAGTGAGTGAGTGAGT